GTAGAGACGCACACACAACTCTACTGAAGCCCCTTTCCAGCAAAGCACTTAATATATTGTAATCAGAAGCATATCTGTGATGGTAACTATATGACCCATGGAATTCAAGGCTAGTAATCATAGCAACTCAAGCTTGCTATAATGGCTTTAGCTGTACTAAGGACAGAAGCTCAAGAGAAATATCTTGATTGAAGAGTAACAGTTATGGAAGATTATCTACAGAACAGCTCCCCGTATTCTTAAAGAGTGAATGTATATTAAAACAGCTGTCCAGTATATATATATTTGTTTGCATGAGTTGCTATGCAAGCAAGGAATAATTCTTAGGATCATCTTGCATCTTGTCACAATAGTGTGAAGGTAATTAAGTAGCTTTATGCATTTTTATATGCATGCTGCCACAGTTTTATGACTGCTGCAGCATGCTCCAATTTGCAGACCACCTCATTTGTAGTGGCATCATAAGATGAATGGAAAGTAAACATCCCGTGTGCACGGTCTCAATAGACTTATTCTAAGACTAATTCACAGTTAATTAGATGTTTCAAAAAAAACCACAAGAAAATGTCACTTTGGATGTCCACATATATATATATTACAGCCTTCTTGGAAATTTTAAATTACAAAGAGAAAGTTATGAAGAGAACAGGAAATATTATTAAATGGTTAACACTGTTTGGTAATAGTTGATATTATTGAGAATCTAGTAGTCATCCATTAGTGAGAAGCCCAAAGAAAGTATGGCTAAAAACAAAGACAATGTAGATGTTGTCCTCGAAAGACTCTTTCCTGTAACATTTAATGCACACACATATATTTATCTTGCTATAATCTATGCTCAGATTCTGAACAAGAAGACTGGATCAGTCTTAAAATATACTTTTAGATTCTTTGGCAAGTATGAGTAGGTCAGTTTATTACTAGCAGTAAATGGACAATCATGATGGATACAGATTACCTTGCCATTAAAATGATGCATCCATATTTAAATCTGGAATGCTTGTAGGCAAGCAAAAAAAAAGGGACTAATTGAGTTCTCAAATTTAACGACATATTGCTATGCAGCAAAATTAATGTATGATTATAATCATATCGTAAATGTTAGCATTGAAACTAACAGATATTGAAATTCTCTTCAAGGCTGTATTGGGATTTAAAAAAATAAAATTTGGCTTCCAACCTCTTTCTGTTAACATCAACATTTCATATGGAAGTTCTGAAAATTCTGAGAAATACATACATTTGAAAAATACATAAGATTTGATTCAAAGTAACCCTTCTGAGAATAGAAGGGTTCTTTTCATTTCTGGAGAGAAATCTGTGAATCTGCTACTAGAAGAAATTAGGGAGGTGATTCTCCTTCTTCCCCGAAGACCTACTCTCTCCTTGCAATCATATACTACTCTTGAAAGCCTACCAATCCTTTGGAATTTGGAAGAGAGGGGGCAAATTGGTGAAAATGGTACCTCCTTCCATTTCCACCCAAAGAACAATTTCCGTAGGTAAAATGCTACTGAATAAGAACCTTAGATCAAGTTATATTATTACAATCAAACTATTATGCAATTCCTTTGAATAAAAAAAAAATCCTCCACAACTTGTGTGAATTACTCAGATGAAAGCTCTTCAATAATGTCAAACAATTCATTGTTATCCACTGAAAAAGCTGATTAACAGAAGCTATTCATAGCAGCTAAACACAACTGGTTCCAAAAAGAAAGTTATAAAATCGTCTTTTCCCCAACCCCAATTTTGCAAGAGGAGGTTTTTATTTCACAAATCCAATTGTAACAAATATTAGATTTCAATAGAATATGGAAACATATTTTTTTTCGTACTTGGATGGCCAGACCGAGAACACCATTTTAAAGACTGGACTTAGATGTCCATTTACACATCATAATCCAGATTTTCAACATGATAAATAAAAGTCTGAAGCTGTCCTAAATGCCTGAAAAATAGATGTTGTTTCATTTAGCTACAGTCTAGCTGTAGTCTAGCAGGTTGAAATTATTGGTATTGACATCTTCTTATTCAACCACACAGTACTTCTCTTTCTCCAAAGCCAGGATTATATTCTCTTCATGCATCAGCAGAGCTGAAATGAGATGAATGGGACAGTCTCTCAAAAGAGAGTTATTTTTTGCATTTTCCCCCACCTCCCAACTCTTAAGAGCAAGGATGTGCCCAGTGGACGCTCTGCTCATGCAATATATCAAAGCCACACACTCTATGAGAGCCAGGGCTATTCCCCATTCTTCTGATAGAAAAAAACAACTGTAAGGCAACGCCATCTGTATGGCTAGCACAAGCAAATCTGGAGGAAAAAGGTACCTGCCTTTTCCAGGGACACTTCCCAGGCTTCCAGTTGTGTGCTACAGCACTGAACCAGGAGCGCAGGTGGCTGCCATGAGGGTGTGCCCTAGGAAATAACTGTTTAGCAAGTAAGGCACCTCATAATTTTTTCCCAGCTGTGTGTAAATCTTACAAATTCCATCTCTCTAATGTCTGACATTTAAGGGAAAGGGAGCTGATAACAAAAGTATTTGGAACAACTTTAAATGCTTATTTTATTGTAGCATTAAGTCTTTTGTCAGAAGAACCTATTTCTTAAGAGTCAACTTTTGTGATAGAACCAGACTTGTTTGCTGCCTGAGGTTACCCACTGTCCATTTCCCACTTGAATAAAAAGCACAGCATCCAAAATTAGTTAAGTCATTTAAAGTAGACCCCAAAGGCAGAAAAATGCTCTACCCTTAAAAATATGGTAACAAATGAATTCTTGCTTCCTTGCTTTCATGACATCTTACATCAACTGCCCGAGGCACCCGTAACAACTCTCCCAAAGTACACACATAAATAGTTTAGGAGCAAAGTGGTAACATGGCTCTTTTTAGATGTGATATGTTGAACAGTATATCATTTTTTTTGTTTCTTTTGGCAACGTGGCAAGCAGTGAGTCAAAACAGAAAGATCAACAGGGAAGATTGAAAGCCCAGTAGAAGGTCTGGGGAAAATATCTATTAGTTGTATGACAGATTTTAGATCAAGACTAATAGATTAAATTATATTAAACTTGATCATAGTATCTGCATAGTATCTAGAAAACATGTATTTAGGGCCAGTTTATATTACCCAGCTAGTATGATGATGAGTACCAGGAGAAATGATAAAATGCCATCAAAGAAAGCAAGTTCAAGAGTTATTGAATAGGGAACACATTTCTAGGCACATGAAAATACAGATGTGGCTTGTTACTCATTGAAAAATCCAAGCTTTCCACCACATATTATTTAGCACTGAAAGCTTTCTGGGCACTCATTCATTCATGCTACTTTTCAATAATGTAATAAATACACCACGATAGTGCATAGTGAACAATCATGAGAGCTCTCTGGCAACAAACAAAATCAATCCCAACCATTTGTCCCACATATTCATCATGCTAGTAATTTAACTGTGTAACATCCTCTTAAATCTCAGTACAGCCTGACAGTTAAAACACTCACTTCTCTTCATGAATAGAAGCATTATTGACAAAAGGAATTTCTTCCTTGTCTGTCTTCCCCAGGATCAGATTTTGTTTCTCCAAGTTTATCACACACTAAGAAATAAAGATGAATAAATTAAAATACATTAGAAAATAATTAAAATTACTTGAGTAAAAAGGATAAGGATGTGCAAAAGGAAGAAGACCAAGAAAAGAGAAGTTTACCTTCAAATATTTCAGTGTTTGTAATCCCAGAGAGAAGCTTTTCTCATTATCTTCTGAAAAAAAAAATACAAAAACTATTCAGATAGATGCATTTTAAAAAAGAGCTTTATAGGAGCTCTGTTGCTATCAAGCACATTAAGGATATAATGTGATATTGTTACTTTTCTCAATTCCTCCTCTCCACTGGATGTCCTGAACATCTTGTAGAAGTGCCGTCCGAGTACCACCGAAACAGTGGCAGTTTTGTAATTTTTAATTCTCCAAATTTTGAAAAAAAAAATAATCTTAGAATTTTCCAGAACAAAAAAAGTGACAAAACTATCATGTTTCATTATCAATCGCATATTTGACTCACTAGCTATGTCCTTGTGATCCTTGGAAGTTAAAATACAATATAAACTGAAAATGTGTTCTCCACCTGCAACAGATTGCTTCTACTATAATACATATCTGTGGAACATGCATGTTCCACTACTATCAAACAAAATTTTGTGTTGCAAAATACTATACAACCAATATAATCAGGAGTTATTGTTATTAAAATCCACAGGCTACCCAATCCTAGAACTCTGGGCAACTTACAGTTTAAAAGACAGAAAACAGTAAGGAATAAAAAATATAGTACATAGAGGCAAACTGCACTCTATGTACTATAAAACACAACCAACAGAGATCCACAACCACCCGTAGGCCTGAGAGAACAGCTACTTTTTAAAAGATTTCCAGAACATCATCTGGGTGAAAACTACACAAATCTCGGGGGGGGGGGCATAATTCCAGAGGGCAATTATGGGGGTGGGAGATGGGGAGAAATTGGTTTATTATTCATGGTTCTAAAAATTTACTGGTGAAAGACTTGGTTATATGCAATGTGTCTATAAACACTTACCAGCCACAACAACTGCAGAACAATCTACATGGACAGTCCCCATTATAAGAGGCAGATGTTCCAGATGTCCAATCGCTTTCATATTATGTGGCAATGAAATCTTCTCACCTTCTGCTTTGCAGGTTTTCATATGCTCTTTTAACCTGAAGATGGAAATAAAACAACTGTGCTAATATCAGAAGTAAGTTCATTTTAGGGAGAAGGTGTGATGGAATGTGTACTTAGAGGAGCAGTGGGGGAGAGTTTTGGCAACACAGAATTTTCCCAGAGAGAGGCCCAGATTAAGAGTCTATACAGTCCCAAACTGGAAGTGGGAGGGGGGAATAGATTCAGGGTAGCCACACCCTAGAGTGTCTCAGGATATATCTAGTAGCTTATAACGTTATAGTTTTAGATGGGCAAGATTCTGGCCATTATGTGTAAATAATTAATTGGATTCAATTGGATTTCATTGTGTCCTCTGTAACCTTGGCCCTGATAGGAGGGCAATATATGTTGCACTCTATATACTAACCCTAACTATGTCAGTCTAAAATATCTATTTGAAGCCCAAAGTCCTTCCTTCCTTCCTTCCTTCCTTCCTTCCTTCCTTCCTTCCCTCTCTTTTTTCTTCTATTGTGAATAAAATATTACTACAATACGCATGTCTGCTTCCCCAAGATAGAGGTTGTTGCAGCACTGGTCAGCTCTTTCAGGCTGAGTATAATTCACATAGTCTTCATGGCCATGGCTAGGCAAACAGCAGAAAAAAGTTTTGTCATTTCCTTCTTCTGGGATGCTTTTTCAACTTCCAAGTCTAGCCTGAAGCTTGGGTATTTCCTAGTGGTTTTCCCACCCTGCGTAGTTCCTTAGCACCAGACAACTGACTGAATGGCAAGAAGATATAATTGCTTTCCATGAACTCTCCAAGAGTACTACCGGTACAAAGAAAGAAAAATAATTCTAACTTAGCCTAATGAAAGTGAGAAAGCAGAATTGGTAACAAAGAGAGAGATTATATAAAAATTAGTATTGATTATATAAAGTTGTATGGCTAAATATTGTTTTAGGAACAAAATTAAGAAAATTATTTAATTTTAAAATTTTAAAGTTATTTAAAAATGTTGAAACAAAGCAAAAGAGCTAGTGATATAATTGCAGCTGCCACAATATGGGTTAGATTTGGTGTCTTATCAACATACACTGAGAAAAGAGAATCTGAAATATTGAATTACAAGACATGAATTACAAGAGCATCTGTTTGCTTCAGTTCATGATTTTTAAGCCACTTTTTTACAGGGAAGGACAGCAAGGATGTTTGTGCTAAAAAGCAGATTGTGCTATTCTGCCTTCGTGAAAAATAGGGGAAAAAGTTAAGATAATTTTAACATTTGGCAAACCTTTCATATTTTGCTAATACATGATGTTCTATTGCTCTGTCGAGTATCAAATGTGAATCATGGAGACACTTTTAGTTTTTGACCTTTTTGCTGTTCCCTTACATAAAGGATATGCAATCTGTGGTCTTCCAAGTGGCTCCTGATAGTCCTGGATATGATTCCCAAAGCCTTCCTTCTCATTGCCAAAGTGTAATTTTTAAGATGACAGAAAAATAAAAATAGCAAATTTAATTTTTGTGCTGGCCTACTTGTTTCTGGAATGAGGTCCCCAGCATCCCACTTCAAGTGTGGCCCTCAATTAAAAAAACAGTGCTTCCCTCTGAAACAAAATTGTATCTATAGATTTATCACAATAGAGACTTTTTCTAAGGATTTCCATATTATTTACTTACAATTACAAATTGTTTTTCTTTTTCCTTGATAGATTTTTGTTATTTTTGCTAAACTTATACGCCACCTTTTTTCTAGGTTTCTGTTCTGACTCTTCCACCCCGAAGACCGGCCCATAGCCTCTCGCTGTTCTCCTCTCCTCAGCCTCCGTTGCGCCCGCACATCAATCACTGGCCCCATGTGATCCTCCTCTCCTGAATCACTTGCCTCAAGGCATGGAGGTCTCAGCCTTTCCATTTGGGGGCTGGTGGACGGCCCAAGCTCCGCCTCTGTCCCTGGCTGTGAGCTCCATTCCTTCGTCCCCATTGGAGCTTTCAGCTGGCTCTGATGCTGGGCCCGACGCCCACTCCTTTGAGCTGGCTGTGGAATCCTCCGGCAGCCGACAGGCCACAACAGTTTCAAGGCAATTAACACAGGGATCTTCCTTTATTTTAGTCCCATAACAGCCCTGCAAGCTAAGCCAAAACAGGGTGACTGGCCCAAAGTCACTCACTGAATTTCTATGGCAGATTTCTATCTTGACTCTTTAATGCTAGTCTAATATTTTAACCGTCACAACATACTGTCTATCTTGGGCATTTTTGCACTTTCCTTTGTGCATGTGTACTCTGACCTTATTTTAGAACTCAGTTGGTATATGTGAAGATTATAAACTGAAAATTTAACCGTCCTCTTCAGCTAAATTCATGCAATACATAACACAATGCAAACCAAAAGCCCCAGAGTATAAGAAATAGACAAGAATGGGATGTGTAGAAAGTTAGCTTTTCTGCTATTGATCTAAAGATGTTATAAATTGTTCATGGGGAACAATTAGTATTATTTAGAACACAGCCAGGCTGGTGTAGTGATGAAGGCATCAAGCTAAGAATTAGGAGACCATACATTCTAATCCTGCCTTATGCATGAACCCAGTTTTGTGACCTTGGACTAGTCATTCTTTTTCAGCCCTTCGAAGAAGGCAATGGCAAACTACTTCTGAAAAAGCTTGCCAAGAAAACTACAAGGACTATAGTTGGCAACTACTAGTGGAATAAAATCTGCAGGGACTCCACTGAGCCGAGGTGGCAAGTGGTTAGAATGCAGGACTGTAGCTACTTCTGCTGGTTGCTGGCTGCCAGCAGTTCGGCAGTTCGAGTCTCACCGGCTCAAGGTTGACTCAGTCTTCCATCCTTCTGAAGTCGGTAAAATGAGGACCCAGATTGTTGGGGGCAATATGATGACTCTGTAAAACTGCTTAGAGAGGGCTGTAAAGCACTGTGAAGTGGTATATAAGTCTAAGTGCTATTCCTTTCCTCCTGAGCATCAGTGCATGCATAAAAACCACAAATATTGCGATGCTGACACTCTTCCTAATTTTCATTAACTGGTTTAAAAGACCCCATATACTAACTCTCTCCCTTACTTCTAAGTTCACAATGCCTTATCTGAAAATCTTATTTCTGGGAATTCTTCAATTTTCACAATATTTACCAAGCTCATTACATCTCATCCAAACGTATTTTCTCCAAACCTTATAAGATATAACCTATTTTGTGCAGCAATCACAGAGATACTACTACTTTCAAGTCCAAGGTATATGGCTGCAGCTGCTGTTGATGGTATATTTTCTCCACACACAAAAAAGGACAAGATAACTATTAATGACTTTATTTTAATAATACATGTTTAAAATAGTTGAATATCAATATTTAATTGAAGGATGACCTTTAGCACAATCTTTCACTTCACTTTCTTTTATTGGAGTGACAGTGAATGGGTAAGCAATTGGTGAATCAGAACAAAATATTCCTGAAGGCAATCACAGTTGTTTGCTGTTCTTACCCTTTGCACTGACCTTTGTTCCCACTGAAAACTATCTAAAAAAACTACTAGTCTGAAAGCAATAATTCTTTCTTGTTCCATGAGAAACTGTTTTCATTTGTATCATCTTTAAGGTACTATTCTTCTGTTCCCTTCTGCAAGATGACTCATTCATGACTGATTCATGACCTATGCAGAGATGAGCCAGAGCTAAAGGCACTTTGATGCTGCTTCTTTGAAGGATCTATTTTTCTGTCTATTAATGGTATCACGTGGTTAGCAAAAGATAGGGGGGAAAAGTTCCTTTTTCAAATATACCCAGCATCTCTTTTCCTTTTTGCTCCAGCTTCTTAAATATAATAGTATTGCAATTCAAAAAACTTTAAATTACTGATTTTCTTTGCTTCCGCTGTAATTTCTGAATATTCTGAAGGATGTACTTTTTTTTTTCAATGCCCACTGCAGTCACGCCATCTCAATTTTATATTGTTTATTCCATGTTATTCCATGCTTATTCTAACAAGCTCAAAATAAAACAAATTTGCCCTGGAAGCAGTTGGAGATAATGTTGTCAATCTACATCAACAACAAAAATACAAAAACATTCTGATTGTAAAAACTTGCTTTTCTTAATTAAATACTGAAATCTACAAAATGGAACCAAACACAAAAGGGTGGCTCAATGGGAGGTTTTCATTTCCTGCATAACTGAAAATCTGCTTTTGAGTTACTATTCCAATCCTAATGGATGCTGACTGCTCCCCAAGGCCTATAGAATTTTATATTGCGTTTTTTTTGTTTTGTTTTTATGGATGCACATGGTGTACACTTTTACTATTACAGATAGTCCTCAACTTACAACAGTTCACTTAGTGACCAAAGTTACAACGGCACTGAAAAAAACAGACATGACAGTTTTTCACACTTACAACTGTTGTAGTATCCCCTTGATCAAAATTCGGAGGATTGGCAACTGGCTCATATTTATGATGGTTGGGGGTGCCAGAGTCCTGTGATTCCCTTTTGTGACTTTCTGACAAGCAAAGTCAATGGGGAAGTCAGATTCACTTAACAACCATGTTACTAACTTAACAACTTCAGTGATTCACTTAACTGTGGCAAGAAAGGTTGTAAAATGGGGAAAATTCACTTAACATTTGTCTCACTTAGCAACAGAAATTTTGGGTTCAATTGTGGTGGTAAGTTGAGAACTACCTGTATTTATTATTTTTGACATTGTAAATTGCCCAGAATCTTATGAATTTGGGAGGCTTCTAAATTATATAAATGAATACATGTGTACATACTGAACGTGCTAGGCTAGGCTGTTGCTATTTTTTAAAAAGAAAATAAATCAGAAATCTATGCATATCAATTTAAATCTTAACAATCTACCAATAGATTCTGATTTATTTTCCTGTCCATCTTTATCCCAGGAAAGTGATTGTACAATTAAGTGAATCTGGAAGGTAGGTTTATGGCTAAATTAGATTAGAACTTTTTACATATATAAATCTCATAACTGGCTTCTTCTTAGTTAGGCTATATGTATTTGAATTCATAACATTTACATCACAGATGGATTAAACAAAGCACATCACAAGACAATCATTTTTATAAAGTATGTTCTCAGAAAAAGTATAATGAGAAAATGTAAAATCACAATAGAAAACAGGAATTACAAAAATGAATGCTACCCAACCTTACTGTGATGCTGAAAAGTGCAGAAACTTGAAAGGGAAATTATGCACAAAATTCAGTATAACATGTCACTTAAGTTTCAGACAGGTTCCATTTAATAAGAGAAATGGATTTCTCCTGGGCAATTAAAACATAGGATTTATTATTTTTTAGAAAACTTGAGAGTATCATGCAGTCTCCTGCAATAGAATAGCTTTAGAAGAGACAACTGATCAACAAAAAAAAGATTGTGGATAATGAAGAAAATTCTTAACAATTAGTGTTAATTAAAACTTTGTATACCCAGGAATGCTAAATGGAAGTAAGGGTATACCATAAATTTTAATTTTAAAAGTTGAAAGAGTCATTATTCATCACTTCAAAGGAGAAAAACCAGGCAATTTGTACATTTCAACTAATTTCCCCCTTAAAAGTAGAAAATGTAACACTTTGAGAAAAACATCATCTGTGTTGTCAGGAATAAATCAGTCATATTGATAGCTGTGCAAAAGGAGACACCCACAACCAAAGAGTGGTGATAAAACTAGTAATTAAGACAGCGAACCTCACATTTTGAAGTTTCCTGTTGTAACAATGGATTTGACAATGTAAAGTGCTTTTGTTGAATTTTTCATTACATTTCTAACTTAAAATTACTTCTTTTTTACAGTAATAAAAATACAAACATCTTTCATTTTTTTTATAAAAGGAAAACAATTAAGGCAGCGTCATGCATCCCTGCATCAGTTCCCTTACGTAAGCATGGGATGGAACAGAAGTATATTCTATGCTGCCCTTTTGGATAGTCAGTAATTCTGACTGAGATACATGGCCAAAGAAATTATTTGAATATGGTAAAGAATACACTCAATGTTCTTCTTCCCACCACTATTATTACTCCCACCTCAATAAATATAAGCGGTAATTTCTTTGATGGAACAGCACAAAGTCTCTAAGTCAGGCATGTGAAACTCGCGATGTCACGTGACATCGTGCAACATATTGGGCCGGTTTTGCCATTGCCGGCAATGGGGTGGGCGTGGCTTCCATGTGACGCATCCGGCCTGTGGGCCGGCAGTTTGACACCCCTGCTCTAAGTCTATATGAGTTTTAAATTAAATATTAACACCAGGAGTTTGGGAGTTAAACCTGCTGTGATTCATTGTGAAATTTTGCTAAGACCCAATTTATGAGTTTGTCACAATTCATTGGTATGATATATCTATTTGTTATGAAATTCAAAACTTCAGTTCTCAAATGTTTGGGGAGTCTCTCCTCTAACCAAGTATTACTGAAGGGAGCTCATGTGCAAATAAAGACACAATTAGGAGAAGGAAGAGAGCACAGTTTTTAGAGGTCAAATCCTATGTGTCAAGGATACAGAATGTGAAAGCCCAGAAGGCCTTATGCAACCCTCCAAAACCTTTGGTGGATCCACAGAATGCTCCAAAATTTGCCTTCATATTTAATGGACAAAATGATTAAATATATTTTAATTAATTTTATTATGTTTATATTCAAATTATATTTTTAATATCTTATCCCTGCTCTCCTTTTGAATGAATGCAGCCCCCAGCAAATGAAGCAAAGTCTAGCATGGCCCTCAACACACACACCCAGACATTAGTGCTATATACTATTAATAAATACAAATTGGTAGTTGGAAAAGGTAACAAAATGTGAAAAAATAAAACATATTTTGGAAAATAAATAAATAAAAGGGAATTGAAAATACTGAATATACCCAGTAATCAAAAAATCTTAGATCCAGTGGGTAGAGGAATAGAATGAAATGCCTTGAAGGAAATGGCTGGAATGCAACACATTTTGTGACAAGTCCTAAAAGCCAACATTTCATAAAGTAGCAGGACAGTTTCAAGGGCTGCTCTTGCAATGTCTTTAGCTAGTGCTGTACAGAGAAACTATATATATATTCCAACTAAATAAGTTTTTTAAAATAATGTATCAAATCAATCCTCACTTCAGAGAAGACCCTATATAAAATGCCTACGTCTCAGTTTAGCTAACAAGAAGTGCTTCTGAGGTGGTTTACTGGCTCAACCCAATAAAACAATAAAAATATGATTATGGTTTATTCTTTTGTCACTCTCAACAGTTTGTTCCACTAGATCAGGGGTCCTCAACCTTGGCAACTTTAAGACTTGGGGACTTCAACTCCCAGAATTCCTCAGCCGGCAAAGCAGGCTGAGGAATTCTGGGAATTGAAGTCCCCAAGTCTTAAAAGTTGCCAAGGTTGAGGACCCCTGCACTAGATCAAGTTTGTGACAGCATGAATAAATATCATTTTCCCTAATTTCCTGCCAAACAGTTGTGAAAGGCATGATTACAAAGTTCAGGATAATATATGGCTTCCCTCATGTTGTAGAACTTCATTCCAACAGCCCCATCCCACATAGCTAACTGGGACAGATACCTGAAATGTCACCTGGAGTATCAAAAGTGGTCCATCCATGTGCTGGAACAAGGGAACGCTCACTCTGCTTTCCAGTCCTGCTTCAGAAATATATTTACTGGATCCAATGAGAAGGAAATAAAGGTGCCAGCTACTCTGCAGGAAGTAATACTAACTTACAGTATAAAACTCTTACTAAATGTATAATGATGACTTTGGGTAATGAGAATGTAAATTACTCAGCCGTGCTCAGTTCATTACAGGCACAACCACTGAGAGCTACAGTGTTACTTAAATAAGTCATGACAGTTACAAAAAAACTGGCATTTATTTTCTCAGTAATCAGTGTGGGATGGCTCCTGGGTTGTAAATTGTTATTGCTAAAATAATCGTTTCATGGTCACCAGACTAAAACTTTTCAAGGCTATTTTAGAAACAGGAAAAAAATAATAGACCAAATTACCACCGGAATAAAAGCCTTTCCCAATATGTAGTATCATTCTAAATTTATTGAAACACGGTTCCCTTGTTCCAGACTTACATTGTTTAAACTTGTACGCATTAAGTATTGGTTTGAAAGACAGATTCTCGTTTAGCTGTTTCAGCCTGTTTCTAGAGAGATTTTTACGCCAGTTCAGGAATTTGCAAACACTGTTTAACAAAAGTAAAGGAACAATAACAAAAGCTATCTATTTATATATACTGTGATACTAGATGCTCCTTTCAAGATCATTACTCTATGACAGAAAGAAGGATGCTACAGATGCCCAGAGAAATGTTGCTTCTTTGATTCAGTACCACTATTAATAATAATAGTTTTGTAATTTATACCATAATTTTCTTTTCTCCCTTTCTGCAGTAGCAAACTCTTAGCTCAGCTTGCAACTTCAAAGGTAACCTTAAGACCTAAATCTGTAACTGAGCAGTACAACCAATAATGACCTCAGCTTGTAAAAGAAAGAGAATTTGATTGCTTTACATCAATTGCTACAGCCACAAAGAGTATTGCTTACCCTAATCTCTCCAGACATGCAGATGAAATTATATTGCGTTGGCATCCAGTATTAACCACAACTTGCAATTCCTTCCCATTACACTGTAGAAAGAAACACAGCATTTTTGAAAAATATCAGCTGAATTATCTGTATTTCTATTGTTTTTTGATACAGTTTTAAGAAAAAAAAGTTCTATCTCCATTCCCACCCCTAAGCATTGGGGACACAATAGCTATGTTCACAAGGACCCTTAGCTACACTTGACTTAACCAAGGGTTATGCCGTTTTCCCAGAAAATTGAATACAACAAAGCACCATAAATTAACAGCAGGAACTGAAGTAGCACAAAATGCTTGACTAAAGTATAGTTGAATATTTTGTGGTCCAGTGGGTCATACAAACCCAGTGTTTGGATTTATTAGATTTTTATACTGCTTTTTATTTAGGAACTCAAGGAAGCACTAACAGCTCACAACAACTCTGACATAATGGGAATATATTTCACAGGGCTGACTTACAGGGTTCTTGATGTTCTCTGAGCTTGCATCTTTTCCTGCACACCTAGCCTGATTATGTGACCTTGCAGGAGACAAGCATGCTCAGGGAACACCAAGAAACAAATATCATAACAACTCTGTGACATAAGTTGAGCTTATGTCTCACCCAACACCCACCCAATGAACTAATATTATTAGGGGTGGTTTCCAAGTTAAAATGTATTTCATATATTAAAGCTCAAACCCCGTTACAAAGCCATGCTATTTCAGAGACTATTAGATGGGAAAACAAAATGGAGAAATTTTAAGAAGTCAAATGCTGTTAGACAGTGGACAGTATATAATCTATGTGAGAAATGTTTGCTGAAAAAAAAGTTGGGATGCATATGAAAGTGTATTTATGCCCCCTTTTTATATGGAAGTGGGGGTTGGATATGTCAGAAAAAAAATAACACATTGAATGCAGTGGGAACGGGGTATTTAAGAAAGTCATGATGCATGAATGTTACCATGGATGTTTTATTGTTCCTTGAAGAGGAAATTTTATAATTTTGCTGTAAACTGTTAGTCAATTCCCTGAAACCAGCCATATGCAAGTTTAATTTGTATGTTTAAATGTCAAAATGTTTTGTTCATAAGAGATAAATGAGAACTGAATTGCAAAACAAATATATGAAGGAACAATGAATAAGTTGCGCAAAAGGGAAAAATAGTAAAATCATCATGGTTTGATGGTATTAATAAAATCCTGAAAAAAGGAGAGATAAGACGTTTAAAAAGCAAACAGCAATATATCAAGCACAGAGTAAACTCGGTGAAAGCAAAGATGATTTGTAAAATCAGAAAAGTACAGAGAAACACAGTAAATAGTGTGGAAGTAAACTAGATTTAGCCAGATTTTATTTTCTCTTACTTCTTTCCTTTCCTTTGTATGCTATCGTTTATTATTTATCTGTGCTGTGCACAGTATAATGTTTACCAAACGACAATAGAATGATATTTGTTTTAATAAAGACAAACTGGTTCACATATGAAAGGTGTATGACACAGACAAGACTAAAATGCAATTGCCTAATATATGCTCAATGTGTTGTGTAAACTCAGCCAGTTTAATTAATTTGCAGGCCATTGGGTTGAGTCAATGTTTTGTCTACGGACAGACCTCAGTAGATATTGCTCAAAACATGGGGAATAACTCCAGGACTTCAGGACACAAGCTCAACTACTGGAAGTGATTCCCATGATCAGAATTAATCAGAGGAGTAGCTCTATTAGTTGTAACACAAATCACATAGGCTACAATTGTGTGACTCCTAAGCCAAAAGAGCATAGCTCTCAATCTCCCCCTCATACCTTTTTATTATTATTATTTATTATTATTTATTAAATTTATATCCCGCCCTTCTCCTTGCGGACTCAGGGCGGCTGACAATCAATTAAAAATACATAAATAACAATTACAGAGTTAAAATTAATTAAG